ATACATGAACATGGAAGACTCAATTGATATGAGACCAAAAGGATTGTTTAGAGGACATCCTAAGATTTCTAAAAAGTCCAAGAACACGTCTCTAGGGTCAAAATTGAGAGAGTTATGCATTGACCAAGTTGACCATTTTTGCAAAATTGCCAAAAGTCAAATGTGCTCAAATTTGCATTTTTTGCTAAATGGGTCCGACTTTTTATGCTTGCACCTCAATTATAATGTGGTCCACGACTCAAATGTTCACTCACCCATTATATGCTTCATTTTTCAATTTATTTTAATTTTTCATTAATTAAAAAGTGAATTAAATCAAATAAATGATGAAAATTAACAAATATATGATTTGATTTGTTTTTTTGACAGATTGGAAATCAAGATATGCTGAGTTAACAAGATAAAATCGAATCAAAGTCAATTGGTACAAGAAAGGCATAATTTGGCTCAAAATAGCAACATATCATATAGCTTGCAAATCAAATCAAATCTTGGATAAATGCAAAGATTTAGTCCAAGTTTGTTAACCTAATTCACTCTAGGTTATATAGTGAACAATTCCATATCAAAAAGAGAAGGGTTAGAGTCGTGAAAAAAGGCATAGCAAAGTCACAAAATTCAAAGAAAAGTGTGAATTGGTTTTCACTCCACAGGTCATCTCAAGCCATCCTAGCTGTCCCAATCTATTGTTGGACGTCCCAGGAAGCTGTCTCAATCGTTTGCAAGGCCTGAAACAACCAGAAACGCGCGCAACACCCTCATACACTAGGGGATACGAAATTGGCTGCCCAAGAACGCTCTCTAAAAACCTCAAATTCTGTCAAAACTAATGCAAAGTCAAAACCGAAGATCCAGCCACTTTCAGTCCAAGCCATCAATTACAAATCATTCCTGAGGTATCTAAGGATTCAATACACCACCATTCCATGCGTCCATCATACGCTCACAAATCCTACTCTTTGGATCATCCCTTGGTCCAGATTCAGCGTCCGACCACAGCAGCTCGTGGTGCACTCTCTGAAGCTAATCCACATGGAATCACACGCAAGGAACATGGGTCAACCAATTTGGGCATAACAATTTGGCAATGCACCCCCCAGTCTGCATTCTACCACACAGGCCCAATCTTTTCTTTTTTATTTTATTTCAATTCTTTTTATTGTTTTTATTTATTTATTTTATTTATTTTCCAAAAATCATTTTTAATCAAAATATAAAAATCAGAAAATCACAAACAATATTAGGTTTAGTTTTTTTTTCTTCCATAAAATATTTAATTGCATTAATTAGTTTAATTAGGTTAACTTAAATCTTTTTTTCATAATTAAAATCAAATAGAAATTAGGTTTAATTCTTAATTTTAATTCCTTCTCAAAATAAAAACACAAAAATAGGTTAATTGTTTTTTTCATTAATTTAATGATTTTTCATAATTAAAACTTAATTAGTGATTAGGATATTTTATAATTTATTCTTTATTTCCTTAAATAAAAATGACAAAAAATGATTTTTTTCTCTTTAATTAAATTCAATTTGGTTTTCAAGGGTCAAAACCCTAATTTCTCGCATTTACGTTTGTCGTACGTAATTTTTATTATATTTTTGTAATTGCTCTGAGGTTGTAATAGTCTTTTAAACTAGGGTTTTATTTAGTGTTTAATTTCCCCCCAAGTTTTGGTTATATAATTAATCCCCCTCCTCGAAGCCTTGTAATAGTTAGGTTTTATATTTTTGAACTTTTAAATTTCCGCAATTATTAACTGTTAGATGAATGCTAATAGGATTGTATGGCAAGAATGCATGACAAAATTAAAATGGTTAGAAAACTCTAATGTGCAAAGATAATAAACTGAAAACAAATCACTCGCACATATTCACTCTTAGGGTATACTCTAACTTTGGTTGCCTTCAGTAAACGATCATTAAGCATAGGGTGTCTTAGTGGTTGCCCTCCCGTCTAAAGAGATCAAATTATCCCGTTCAAATGTTGTCTCAAAAATGTTGCCTCGAAAAGATCTTAAGACTCTAGGGTTACTGTTAAGGTGTCCTAATATTGCTTTAGTGACCGTATGTTCCTTTCGAATTGACCCTTACAAATTCCAACGACGGTGCTACCTATTTCTCAATAGTAGGATAGCGCTGTCTAAAGGAAACAAGAATAGAAACGATCTTTTTTCGAGTAGGTAGATGCTAGTAGGTACTTGCTCAAATCAAAACTTTTCACACTTACACCTTTCAAACAAATGTTCAAAACAACTTCATCACACCCTTGAGGACTGATACAAGGGTTATCACGAAGTAAAACATTTTTCAAAAAAACAAGCACACAAACACAATTAATTTAAAAATGAGCAAGTACCTAAGAGCCCATGGAAAACCATGGATAGAAAAGGTGCTAACACCTTTCCTTTCTATAATCTACCCCCCGTACTCAAAATCTCGAAAAAGGATTTTTTCTGTACTTTTTTCCTTTCCGATTGGATAAAATAAAAGTCGGTGGCAACTCTTGCTTACCGCGACATTTTGTGAATAAAAAACGCAAAACACAAACTAGTAAAACCAGTCGGTTTTGCCACCGTATCACACTAAGATACCTTGCAACATTGCTAATCATGGTTATACGATGACCCACGCCTATCCCGTTTACATCCAAAGATAGGGTTGCTTACCAAATCAATGGTAAGACAACAATATCAAAGGGAAATAAAAAGAACAATAAAGATATTTGAGTAGGTAGATTGCTCCTAATTACTTGCTCCATCTCAAAACAAATATCCTTGCTATTTTCAAAACAATCACATACACTTTCAAAACATCTTACAAAATTGAAAACATTTTCAAAAGATTAACATCTTTGTATACATTCTTACAAACGAGAATTATTACAAAGATTGCCTAAACAATGACCTCTTTACAAAATACTTTCAAAAACCACAAAAAGCACAATTTCAAACAAAAGCAATTGATCTAGCAAGTAACTAAGAGCCCATGGAAAACCATAGATAAAAAAGGGTGCTAATACCTTACCTTTTTATAATCTACCCCCCGAACTCAAGAAACAATCTCAAAGGTCTTTCCTGTGCTTTTTCACCTTTTCTTTTGGATAAAAGAAAAGTTGGTGGCGACTCTTGCTAACCGCAATATTTACGATCAAACGCAAAACCTCAAGTCAGTTTCCCACTGCATCACAGTACCACATGCATTTGCATCATAACAAGTCGCATTTCATGTTGCATCTTGAGTTGTTGTGATGATGGATTGGTTATGATATTATGTTGATGACTTAGTTGTGTTGAATGTTGTTAAAAAGCTGTGAAGTGGTGATTGTTATATGAACTGATTCTAATATATTATTTGATATCCCACCCCTTTTGTTTGAATGTTTCTCCTATGTTGGTAACATGCAAGTAATCCAGAATGAAGGTTGTTTACCTTCAGTAGTTTGAGTCGGTGTCGTTGCTCTGATACGTAACACTCGGAGGGATGAACGCTTGTTGCTTTATTGTTATTTTACTTCCATTGCTGAATTTTAAGTTGATTTTGTCAAGTACTTTGTTGTTTCTAAAGTTGTTTTCAGTTGGACAAAGACATTATGTCATTTGAGTTGAAAATTGTGATTTTGCTGCTTAAGTAATAAAATTGTTTCATTTTAAAGACTAAAATTGTTGTTATCTGTTCATCCGATGATTAAGTATTATGCATATGTTTTATATGCGATTAAATGTCATTGTTATAAGTTGAAAATGTATCATCTTGTTTGTATGTCGAAATTTTATAACTCTGATCTTAATATTATTCGTCAGATAGAAATGAGGTGTTACACAATCCACTTCTAAATGTAGGACGATCCAATGACCTTGGTCTAATAAAACATGTAGATAAAGGACACTCTATCCCTTCTGCTCGTCAATCGAGGAGTCGTGGCCACCAGAGTCTCCATGGTTCACACTTTTGAGGGCCAGGTATTCAATATTTACTCTAAAAATCTTAATACCATTCTTTTATCTCTTTGCATCCTTTCTTACTTGATCGTCGGAGTGTCTTGCAGGTACACCCCCCTCATCTCCTCAAATTTTCAGTCTAGCGGACATCATCCCTTCGACCCACTTTCAGTTCCTGATCAACCGGTAAGATCAAGACCTAAATGTATGTTTATTAGATAAGAGACTAAAGTGAAACTTGGAATTAAGTTAAAGAACTTTATCAGAAATACAGTTCCGGACACAAAGTTTGTTTTTTCAGAGAAAAATCAGTATATAACAAGTAACAAAGAAGAAAATACATGTACATTACATTAAATCTCACGTTTTTTTTGCTCCTTTTAATATGAAAAACAGATAAATGTTATTTTGATATAAGAAACTTGATTGAGTGTGGAAATAGATTTTGGTAGGATTTGAAGAAGAATCGTAGTTTAATCCCGAATGAAACATTCATGTAAGATAATGTTTTATTAAATTTTTTGTTTGACAAATCTGAAAATAAACGTGTCTGAAATAGTTAGTAGATTATGACATAAATAAAACCATTGTATAAGTGTTTGAAAATACACTTTGAGATTAGTTTTTTTTTAAAAAATAACGATATATTTTATTTAAAACATATTTTAATATAGAATAAGTGTATTTTCGAGTGAGTTTATTGGATAACGGGAGACCTATTTTGTGATAGTTGAAATAGTGGAATTATGGGGGAGTGAAAATATATAGAAATTTGAAGGCACGCACGGACGGAGTTACTTTGTGTTTGTTCTCCATTATGACATTGATTGATTCATTTGTTCACTTTATGATTTATTAATATTATTATAATTACAAAAACAAACAAGTATAATCAAATATAACCATTTCCCCTGTCTCTGATCTCATCTCTGAACCACATACATAGACACAGATTGAATTGAATTGAATCTATGCATGCAAATACGCAATCAATGACAATCAAATTAAATTAAAGTCTTGTCGATCTACCCACCTAACCATTTCTGGATCTCAATTCAAATGCATGGCTACAGCCGCCTTGGTAGGCCCAAAAGCGGCGGCGTCGGTCCCGCTCCCGCTCCCGGCAGCCACTCCTCCTCCTCCTGGTCCAAACTCGTATTCCTTCTCATGTCCGCCATTTTCAGACGACGAGGCTTGCTTCTATTCGCTCCTCTTTTGTATATTTCCGGAATGTTGCTGTATATGGGTTCCTTAAGCTTCGATGTTGTTCTTGTACACAAACACCCTCGCCCTCATCCTGGTTCTCTTTACACAACTCCTCTACTCTTTCGTAATCTTTGGCCTTTCATGGAAGCTGACAATGCTACTTCTAGCAATGTTGTAAGAACCTCCCCCTCTCTTTTTTTTAGTTAAATACCTTTATTCAACTTAAATTTGCTCAAAATAGCTTATCAATATACCATAAGCGACTCTTTATGTCCCTACATAAGTTCAAATTAATGTATATATGCTTTTACTGTTTTCTTGTGTTCTATTGTCTTATTGTTCATTCAATCATGCACTTATTTTGTGTTTTGACTCATTGCTTGATTGATTGATTGATGCAGTTGATGAATGCTTGGAGTTTGAAAGAGGATACACAATGGAAGCCTTGTGCTAATAAAACTCTTTCTCAAATAGGTCTTTTTTCTTTTCTTCTCTTCACTCTTTTTCTGGAAACCGTTTTGTCTAATTCTAAACATTTCCTTTACTTGTTTGTTTTCTTGTTGCATTTTTGCATTGCTTAGCTTAGCTTTTCCTCATTTCTAAATCTACTTTCTTTCTTTCTTATTTTGGATTTCCCATTCAACTTCACATATAGATTAGGAATCTTTACTTTCATTATTATTTTATCTTCTCTTTCCGTGTGTCTTATCATTCTTGAAAGAATTTGCTAACTTTTTCTTGTCTTTCTCCTTTTCTTTATGCTTAGAGTTGCCCAAGTCAAACGGTTACCTTATAATTGAAGCAAACGGTGGACTGAATCAGCAACGCCTCTCGGTATGCCTATTCATCACACCAAAGATTTTATTTTTATTAATTATTGCTGCAGTTATTTACAATTGGGATTTTTACAAACTACCTTGTAATGCTGGTTCCATTTTATGCCCGCCCATCCCATTTTTGGTAGTTGGAGAAAAAAGATATTATCATAGCATTGTTCTTCTCTATTCATCTATTTCTGTTATCAACTTGTAAAAAAAATAAAATATAAATTATTTTTACCATTGCTCTCTAAAATTTTCATCCATATTACATTTATAAGATAGAAAACAGGAAAGTTAAACTTTGTTTTGTCTCAAGGGGTTATTATGTATTCTTCAGTTAAATTTAAGTTCCTAATGCAACCAAAGTTGACTGGAAATGACCATTTCATTCCATTCTCAATATACCGATTCACCATTCTGTTTATGTGACATGCCATTTAAGATTCGAGTCCCTTGTGAATGGGTGTAAGAAAGCTTAAAATCATGTTTGTGGGTAGGAGGACTTGAAATGCTGCTAATGGTGATTTTCTACAGAGATTATTTGTTTCTGAAAATGGATTTCCAATGAGTTATATTATATCTATTGCTTGCTTTATGGAGTTAATGAATAGTTTCCTCCTGGTGTCTGTTCTTTGTGTCATGTTTCTCCAAATGAAGTATGGTGGTAAGCTGCTGGGCATGCAAGTTTAATGCTTATTTGATGAACATTGATGATCTGGTTTGCCGTCCGCATTAAATCATGTCCATATTGTTCTGACACTTATTATACTACTCACCGCGCAGATATGTGATGCAGTTGCTGTGGCTGGACTACTAAATGCTACTCTTGTTATTCCAATATTCCATTTAAATAGTGTTTGGAGAGATTCAAGGTATTTGCTTTTGTTGTGCTTAGTTTTAATCTGCTTAATGGCTATCAAATCTCATTGCTATAGCTCAAACTATTTGAGTTTCTTTTCAACCGTATCATTCACATGTGTGTTCGAATTTGAAAAATGAATCGGTTTTCAACATTCTACTTCCTCTAGGTCCACCATTTTTATGAGTCATGTGCAAGATAAATCTGATAGGATCTCATGTTAAAAAGATTATACAGCCTGGGGACAGAAGATCACCTTGAATTTTTTGGAGTAAATTTTTGGAGCTGACTCCACTTCATGGAAAATGCTAAGGTTGTTGCATTAAATCTTTGGAATCAACTTCAAATTTAAGAATTGTAGTGTATGTGTAGGAAATTACTAATCAATTAATACCATGCATCTTAGCGAGGGAAAATAAGTGAGACTAGGTACTATATAGAGCATACTTCTGTTTTTCTGCTGTGACCGTTTTCTCAATTCTTATTTATCATCTCTGTTCTCTGGAATTGATCTCTTACAGAAAATTGATAAGTTTTCTAAATGAAAACAGATAGCTCTGCATACCTCATCAGTATGAGTATTGGTCTTTTTCTTTTTTGACATATCTAGCCCTATTCACCTAGAACAGAAGACCACTTGAGTATCCTGAACGTCAGAGTCATCTTAAACTTACTTATGGATGCATGACTCATAAGTAACAGTCGCCAATGTTGAACTGAGAGTCATTACAATAGTTGCCACAGCATGGGCTTATAGTACGTCATTCAAATGAACTACTTTTTTTAAAGAATTATGTTCTCCATTATGTGCTTAACTGAGACATCTGATATGCAACCTTTGTTAAATTTTATATATATCAAGCATAGAGTTCTTTAGGTTTTATAATCCTCTTGTTTAAGTCAGAAAAGTTTACGAATTCTTTATCTTGCAGCCACTTCGGTGACATTTTCGACGAAAATTTCTTCATACAATCTCTCGAGAAACATGTGCATGTGGTAAGAGAACTTCCAGTTGACGTACTTGAACGGTTTGGCAATAATGTAAGTAACATTGTCAACCTCAGAGTAAAAGCCTGGTCCAGTCCATCTTACTATCTTAAGAAGGTTCTTCCTCATCTTTTGGAAATGAGGTGTGCTCCTTTCTCTCTCTTTTTGTTTCCCCCTCACTGGTTGCTTCCAGTTCTTCTGGCCTGAAAGTAGTTTCAGCAGTATTTTTTAAGTTTATTCTCCTTTTAACGAAGTTCAATTAGCCTCAGTAGCAATTACAAATTGTCCAATTTCTGAAAATGTAAAATGGTATTCCAAACACGTGTTTTAGTCTTTTAGATAGTATGGAAGTAATTTTAGTATCCACTTTGAGTTATATGCGGAAACTTTTAACGAAATTTCTGTGTATATAATCACTTCATTCACTTATACTATTGCACCTGAATACAAGACACTTTGAATGAGATTAGTTATAACTCATGGAACTAAGAGTCTTCAACCACTGGAGACAAATTTGACAATCAAGCTCTATCGATTTTTTTTTTTAATAATTTTTATAATGTTTAATGTACTATTTAGTATATTTAATTTAATTGATTTGTATATTCTTGATATATTGATAAATCTATGGTATCTTATTCCAGATCTTGATGGAAATTCTTATCTCAATCATCTCTTTCTCCCAAACGTAAAAACGGATAATTCTAACAAATTTGGAATTGAAATTTAGATTATGAACTACAATGCCAATTCTAAAAGTTACCTTAAAGTATGCATTAAAAAAAATTTGATTTGAATGGCGTTAAAGAAAACTTAGCTTTTGGCAAGAATGCAACGGTGTCGGCTAATCCTGAGTGTCTAGGTCTGTTTGGCGGGTAAAGTTTTTGTTATTGCTACAGTATCTCTTGTGCTAAAAACAGATAGAATATTGGGTTAGATTTTGCTGTTTGTGTTGTGTTGAGTTAAAGTTGACATTGGCTCATTAAACAAAACATTAGAATGTGAAAGTGGAAATGCCCTTGGATGTTTTATACCTCTTCCGGTCCCATATATAAGAAGAAAAACAAAAATTAGCAAGACCAAGGAGGCTCATTTTGTTTTAGTTTTGAAAGTTTATTCCAAATATAACCTTGGCATTAAATATTTTAACGCCCACTCATGTGAGAAATGCATGCATTTTTTGTAAACTTGGGAAGGGTATAAAAGTCATTTGAGCAATAAATAAATGCATGCCACTTAAAGTTTGTAATTTTCCGTGTAATTGGCGGTAAAACCCTCCAAAAGTTTAATTTTTATAGAACTAGAGGTAAATTGAAAGCTTGTATGTGGTTTAAATCGAATAATTTGAATGCATGAAGAGAAGAGAAGAGTCATGAATTGTTTGTTGTTGGTTTTTCATGTCAAGTTAGTCCTCCAAGGGGTCTTTTGTCTTTTTTTTTTGTATCAATATAGTCCTTTTATCTTTTTTTTCATGTCAAGTTAGTCCTTTATGTTTAAAAATGTCAACAATGTTGTACCAAACTTCATTTTTTTCCGTTCATATGTGACCAAAAGTCTTGGGTGGCCATCCAAAAAGGTAAATTATTTATTCCATTAATCGAAATTACATTTAAGCCACATCAAAATGGTTGTTAAATATCCAATCCATTTAAAATACCAAAGTCAACATGATTTTTTTCAAGCTTTTATCTATCGTTGTTGTCAACTCGGTTCTAATTGTGGTGTTGTGTCGTGAAACATTCTTTTATAGTATTGGAGTATCATTTAGTGATCATGCACTCAAATCTGTAACACAAGTGGACAGAGAATGAAGGTCAGTCCAATGATTTAAACATATTTTATTATAAAAGACTAATTTATTATAAAAAAGGAGATAAAGGACTACTCTTAGAATAATAATAATATTAAGGAAGAACCCTATTAGTCTATTATAGGAGAAATAGTAGGGATACTCGGATAAGGATAATTAGGATTTATGTCAGTAGTTATTCTTGTCAGTTAGTTAGTTGTTTTGGTTCTTCGCTAGTGGTCTATATATAAGGTTGCCCTTTCTATCTTTAGAGGTATCTTTGAACATTTAGCTTTGATTGGAACATTTCTAGTGTTAGGGCAGTATCTTCCTCTATGTATGTTCTTTTTCTCAATATATAAAACTATTACGGATGAATAAACTCCCTTTCTACTCGTGTTCTTTCAACAGAACTCTAACCACTACACTGACACAAAATTATGATAAAGGATCCTTGATGTAATTTTGCATTTTTATTAGTATTACTATTTTTCTCTTACAAACATATCCTTGCCAATTTTTTGTTTTTGGCTTCTAACAGGACTTTGTCCGTGCTTATTACAGTGTTGTTCGTATTGCACCTTTCTCCAACAGATTAGCTCCATCAGTACCCTCAAAAATCCAAGGGCTAAGGTGCTTTGCCAACTATGAAGCTATTAGATTTTCTGAACCTATTAGAACCCTTGCAGAAACCATGGTTGATCGGATGATTAAACATAGTTCCCAAAGTGGTGGGAAATATGTTTCAGTGCACCTTCGTTTTGAGGAGGTATTATAAAATATCTTTGAACTTATGTTGTTAGTTTTACTAGATACATAGTTTATTATGCAGAATGGATATGCAGAATTCAAGATAATGTTAATTTTGCTTATGATAATAATAGAGGGGTTTTACGTTTTTGTGTATACTAGATAAATCATTTTATTTTAGCGTTAGTATAATTTATTGGAGATTGACTAGATGCCTACTATATGATTATAACATACAAATACACAATGGATTGCTATATATTGATGTCTTTTGCATAGACTATTCTCAATTTTTATTTTCTGGATATGTTTTGGTTCCAATGTTCTACATCAGTTTATATTCGGTAACTAGTTAGTTCTACAAGTTGGGCAAGCACTTTAATTTCAGAATTGAGCGGGAAGCCTTTTCTCTGCCAGTTTGCACTGAGTTGGGCAAAGCAGCAGTTTCTGAGTACCGTGAATTCATACAACAGACCTGTTGATGATGTCAATATGCCTTTCTAGAGTTGTAATAATTTAATGATTTTACGTTATATCTACAAAAAAATTAACTCGGAGTGTTTGATTATTTGATGGGAGTGGACTACAAGTCTAATATATGATATGAATATGCTATTTTCAATTTTCACATGAGTTCCTTGTGTGTTTGGTTAGCTTTGCATTAATTATATATTGTAATACTATTTCCTTGTGTGAAGGATATGGTTGCATTTTCATGTTGTGTGTATGACGGTGGGGCAGAGGAGAAACGTGAAATGGATATTGCTCGTGAAAGGAGTTGGCGAGGTAAATTCAGAAGAAAGCATAGGATAATAAAGCCCGGTGTACATCGGGTGGAGGGTAGATGTCCTTTGACTCCATTAGAGGTATGCACTTAAAAAAATTCCTTCCCTTCTTGGGTTTCTTCTCTCCTCCGTATTTGCTAATAGGATTTGAATTAAATGTTCTGTTTTTCTTTTCAAAGAAACTTATGCTATCTGTAACTGGGACAATAGTCATAAACATCAGTAGGACACAACTATTCGAATGGAAGTTTGTTTCCCTACTTTTTATTTCTTGTTAATTTAGCTTCCTAAAGATCCAATTTGAAATCTTATATGATGTATAGCAATCATAAATTTCAATGATAGGGTTGCATGAATATCTTTATAAAAAATTGAGCTTGAGAAATATTCAAATGATAAATTAGAAGGATAATACATTCTTTTGAAGAATGGCATAACTCTGATCCTACAGCTCATTTTATTTGATGCTGCAGGTAGGAGTGATGCTTAGAGGCATGGGATTCGATAATACCACTTCAGTTTACGTTGCTGCAGGAAAAATTTATAAAGAACAAAAGTACATGGCACCACTTAAACAAATGTTTCCACGATTAGTAACAAAATATACCCTGGCAAGTCCAGAAGAGCTTGCTCAATTTAAGGTATTCGAGAAGTTATTTATGCATATTTAACACGAGAACAATCCATGTTATTCTGTAAGGGAATTCCAAGAGAAAGTAATTTGTGACACGCGTGTTTATGATGCAGCGCCACTCATCTAGGTTGGCTGCTCTTGATTATACTGTCTGCCTTCATAGTGAAGCATTTGTTACGACTCAGGGTGGAAATTTTCCTCACTTCTTGATGGGTCACAGGAGATATATGTACGGTGGACATGCAAAGACCATTAAACCCGAGAAGAGAAAATTGGTTGTATTATTCGATAACCCTGATGTAAGGTACAGCTTTGACTACCTTTACTGGTTAGCGTTTATTTTTTACGCTGTACCTTGATCCAGATATTAAAATGTTTGTTATCTACGAAGGATGTGAGTGCTTGTGTGTGTGTGGTATACATTAACCATCCTACAAATTTTCGAAAATATATGATTGAATTTTCTTTATGATATTTTCTATATAAAAAGCTGTAAAACATAAAAGGGAAGGGAGAAAGTAATTAACTATTACATAATAAATTACACAGTTTGTCATTCTGATGGATGCATTTGCAAAGTTTGTTGTTTGATAATAATTATTGGCTTTGCAGATGGGAAGTATTTAAGCAGCAAATGAAAGACATGCTTCAGCATAGTGATCAAAGGGGAACCGAAGTAAAAAAGACTGGTGAATCCCTATATACTTTTCCCATGCCAGACTGCATGTGTAAACAGGTAGAACCCAACAATGAAAATGCTAACATTATATTATGACTGTAAAATAATTAATTGTCTTTAGGAAATCAAATTGTTCAATAGATGTAATTTATATATACATATATATCTTTAAGTTTGAATTCAAAAAGAATAGTTTGATTCAAACTTGAAGAAAAGCCATAAACTAAGGCTTCAATTTCTTTTCTTTTTTTCTTCTTCTGATTTATTAGTGTAATAGTTAGGTGTGAATTTTTATAATTCTTTGTACATAAGATTGTTGTAACCCAAGACATACTTCCATTTGATTATGAAGATTCATTTTTGGAGGACTGGCAGCTGTTCATTAACCAATGATAAAAAGAATAATAACAATTGGTTGATATTTTTGCTCACATGATTCATTTTCCTCGTGTCATGTGCAGAAATAGTTTAGAAATATTATTTTTTGTATGTATTGTACAACAACTATACTTGTAGAAACCATTGGATGAGGCATTTTATTATTTACAATTTTGTATAAATAAAAAGGCTGAAATTGTGGTAGCGTGTAAACTTTAGTCATTTGAGTATACTATACTCGGTTTTGTTGTTAACTCCAATTTAGCATGTGTTATTTGAATAACAATAATACATTATAACTTTATGTGTAGCATGTGTTATGGAAGTAAATGAAGAAATGTTGGAATTAAAAAATATAACAAAAAGACTTGCTCTTGTAATACATAATCAAAACCAACCCCAATGAGTACCTTGTTTGGGTCCAACAAGAAGAGACTATGAATACCCTCATCAACAAGGACACATTAGTAGAAAGAGCAACTTTGTAACTCAACAGATATAATAAACCAAGTAGTCTAGTGAATTAGTAGCACCTACCAAAGCATTTGACAAACCATAAATAACTACCAACTTTACATCAGTCAAGGTCCTAGTTCAAATCTTTTTACATGCAAAAAAGCATCAACACATAACTAATGACTATTAGTATATCTTGATCCCAATCGCATTGTTATCAGCCACTACCAGACATAATGGACATTGCCCGTCTGAAGTCCAAGGCTGTTCGGGGGAAAGGCTTTCCACCTGGTAGCCACAGGTCACCTTCATGAGGCAGCATCACCTGTTGTGGATGGCCCTGGCTATTTTTACCACCTGCAACAGCTTCCTCAGATAGAACTTGCTGTTTCTTGACAAATTCAAAAAACTCTGCAACTTGGCGTGCATATCTGCACCACGGACAACAACAACAAAAACAGTAGTGTATTAGGGAATCATGGACCAATATAACACAATGACTTGGAAATCAACAATGACAATAACTTGAGACATACAAAATTTTAAAGAAACAATTACATGAATATATCATTGATGTAAGTTAGTCTTGTTCTATTAGTAACTACTGAATAAAATTCCTGTGAACACTTCACTCAAGTTTGCAAATTTAACTTTATGGAACACATTAAATAGATAGACAGATCATAAAATTATGTTTTGATGAGAGAAAAAAAAAGTATCAGTGCAGTTATAGTTTTAACCTTAAATATTTACAAAGCACTAAAATACTTTCTATTATGCGAACAAACTGAGTCCATTACCAGTTCAGTATAATTATAAAAGTTTGGTGAATGAGAAACAGACAACCAAAGCTAGCCGCTGTGGCAGAAGACTAAATTGAAACAGATAACTGTGTCGAACCAACTAGCCTATTGCACAACTGCATATGTTGGCATTACCATCTGAGAGATGCAATGGAAGTTACAAAGAGGAATTGAAACAAACCTTAGGAGAAACACACCACAAAAGCTACCATTATGGAAGGAGAGCTCAAGTAAATATAAACCCCACACTGAGCTTCCTTACTTAAGGTGTGGGATTCCATGCTTCACACTTGGAACTTTTGACTCGACCAGTAAAAGCCAGCTCAACAACAAACATAATAATAAGACTCTAAGGACAACAAGAATCATATCATTCTAACAAGCATCGGATGAAACGTAAGTTATGTCCATGTTATAGAAATTTAAACAAATCTGAGAAAGAGATAGTTATCATACTCCCTCTTGGCTTCAATATCCTTGGTGAAATCAATATTGGGTTCACAGTCCAGAATCAATGCAGGAACCTGCTCGTAATTAAAGAGATTAAGCCAGACTATACGGAATTTAAAAAAAAATATATATAAAATCAGACATAGGAATAGGAATTCCAAACTTGGCACCTTCTGAATGCTGGAATGCATGTGGTCACCCTCGAGATAAAATACACGGTCTCTTATATCAGGGTGTAAAGAGTTGTCGACATGACGGGGAAGCTTGTTGATAGATAATACTCCATGATTACCACTTTGAGAGGGGAATAACCAGCTCTCATGCTTTTCGTGGAGGTCGCGCAGATACTCTAGGCTGACTCCACCTTCTTCTTCTCTCTTCCTTGACTTCATTCTTTGATGGCAAGTATCAGGACTTGCTCTTAAATAGATAAAACCATCAGGAATGAGGCCAGGCAAAGTAGAGACGACAGGATCAAACCAAGAATCATAAATACTGATCTCCATCTCATTCATCCACTTGGCTTCATGAACAGCTCGTACAAAAACCTGGATTGAACAGTGGGATGATAAAATATTTAAGCCTTTCATAAAGTCTCACAACAAGACTCTCTTGATGAAAAAAATAGGAAAAAAGTTGTCAGTTGAGCTAGAGAAAAAACAGCAAACGAACACCCTAAAGATTCCAGGGATGAAAAAACTGACCATCCTGTCACTAAAAACACTTCTCTCCATCAATCGAAGAGGCTTGATTCCAGCAGAAGACTCTCTTTCTTGCATGACCCTAGTAACAAATACATAGTTCTGAAAGGTGTAGGCATACCTCTCAGGCTCAGCATAAAAAGCATCGAGTATATTGAAGTGGTCAGGTCCAACATCCTGCCACTTACCAATGGGTTCAGGAACGACCTCGACGAGATCCCTGAGTTCAATAGTTTCATTAGCTATTCTCTGAAGAAAAGTAGTCTTACCAACACTGATGTTACCCTCGACACAGAAAGTAAGTCGCTTCTTCTGCGAAGATTGCTTCCCAGAGGAATTATCATCTATTTCTTCATCGACACTCTTTTTAATGAAAGTAGTTATACTTTCAGCATGGTTCTTGTGGATAATTCCAACAGAACTCTGTAGATACTCCACCATGTGGTCAGTAGATTTGCCAAAGAACTGCAGAGAAGAAGAAAATGGTGAAAAGCTAATGATAATTAGAGTATAGAAAGATAAACATGGTATAAAGTGAAGATAGAAACCTTATCTTTGTAGAGTTGTTTGAGTTGGGCGACACCTTGGATACCTTTGTTGAGGAGTTTTCTGAAATTTCTGGGACCCACACCGGGAATAGCCAACAAATCAGGATTAGAGGATGGAGAAGAAGAAGAAACCTTTTGCCTCCTATTTAGTCTGAAGGCGGTGGTAGAGGAAGAGGAAGAAGAAGGGTCTTCCCTAGTTGTAGAGTGGGAGGATGAATGATGTAAAGAGGAATTTGAATAAAGAGAGCGGTTAAGAAGGGTTTTGGTGGGTGTTAGGGTTAGAGTTGGAGAGAAAGATGTGCGGAGATAGGAGGGGTTGGAGTAACGAGAAGAGGAATGTTTGAGAAGCAGAGTAGTGTTATTGCTGTTTGGTGTTGTTGTCTTTGTAGTCATTGTTGCTGTTGGAAGATGAAGAAAGAGAGGGTTATGAGAAGAAGAAGAAGAAGATAGAATAGGGATTGGGAGTGAACAAGTTGGACGTTGTAGCAATTTCTGCATTATTGCTTTTTTCTCCTTCTTCTAAGCCCAAGCATTTGTGGTTACTTCTGTTATTCTTCCGCTGCCTCTAAGAAGAAGACGGACTATTCATTTTTGTTATCTTCTAAACCTTTCAAAAGGGTTTTGTTCTCTCTCCTCCTGCCTGCGCTCTTTTCAAATTCACCCTACCATGTCAAAACTAAACTAGAATAATCTTTAATTCCATAATTAAATTTCTTCAACTTTATTGTTAATTATCAATTTTCCTTAAATTGTCACAAATATCACATTCTTACTAAATTAAATTTATTAATAATTATATTTTTTCTATCAATGGAAAACAAAAAATATGTTTTTGAAAGTTGAATTATCGTCGAGTCGGTTAAATAGATATTAATTAAATGACACAGACAAATAAGAGATAAATAGTAAACATTCACACTTCTTGAACAAGTGACACTCTCAATTTAACAAATCAATCACTATTAATATTCCCTTCGCATAAGGTCTCAACAACCATAAGATGTCACTCTTTATGAATAAGAGATGAAATATAATCCGCCAATGACACTTAAGAATTGATATAAGACATGTTCTCTTGAATAAACTCCATACACATTTGACAGTTAGACTCGCAAATTACGTTTCTGAAACCATGATTTCGAGCAATATTAAGACCATGAGAAATGGCTTGAAGTTCAACATCAATATTAGAGGTGAAACCACAACTTCATAAAAATTTGTGATTTAATCTCCAAAAGAGTTTCTCAAAAGACCCCAAAGTTGAATGACCCTAGATTACCAATAGAACTATCATCTACATTGATATTTATCACATTCTCCGGGGGCTCCAAAACACGTGTCTAGGAGTTGATATCTTATTAGAACCACTAAAAAGTCTGATTGGTAGAATGTAAAATAGTAGTTATTATGCTAAGAACATTTTAGAGTGTAAAATTGTTCGCATACATGATGTGATGGTTTCATTAGCTGCATCACAAATATAACAAGAGGCGTATGTTAATAAGTGATGAGTGACACGTGTTTAGTTGGTAGGTAATTTCCCATGCATGATGATCCAAACAAAATGACTAATATTTTCAGGTGACTTGAAGTTCCAAATCCAAGACCAAGTCATTGTACGAATATGAGGTTCCAAAATTAACGAATAATAAACTGATTTGGTTCCAATTAAGAATATCATATGATTTGTCATTAGTTAATACACTAGTCATCTCCATTTGTATGACTTGATAAAGATGAGTGGAGATGATGTCAAAATTTCAAATATCATAACTGCGGACATTCATGATATGTAAGTGTATCATGCTCATCCATTGAAAGAATTTTGTCATAAATTATACCATTTGGGAGCCATTTATAATACCAAATGAAAAAACCCAATTTCCTTACTCTAGTGATAAAACCCAAACTAAGAGCCTCAAGCGCTTTAGCAATATAACAACATGTGTATGATGCTCTACAATAATTATTCACCTCTAGGACGCAGACTACATAATTATATCAAGATAATAATAATTGAATCCATAACTTGTTAGGATTGTGAAGAAACTCCTAAACATGTTTACCTAACATGGCAATATTAATAGGTCTAGCTCTCCCGACGTCAAGATCACCTTTATTTAAAGGTTGAGTTATGGTGTCCCATTTGACCTGGTGACTAAATTTGCCTCCCAAATAAATTGTCTTATATAAGAACCAATCTTACTACAAATACTTCTAGAAGTCATAAATTATGTATGGTATAAATAGGCATAAAACTAAGCACAAACTTAACAAAAAAGTCACTCTCTCAGGTCTACTAAGAAGCCTACATTTCCATCCAGCTAAATGATTATTAATTTTATCAAAGATAAAGGAAAAATTTGCATTTGTGACTCTACCATAAAGCAAAGGAAATTCAAGATATTTATCAATATTAAAAGTATGCTAGAAATTAATCATACCTTCAAATTTCATTACCTTTGCGCGAGATAAATTCTTAGAGGAAAGGAATTTAGATTTATGGACATTAATCTTCATACTAGAGGCTTTGCAAAAAGCTTGAAGCACCTCATTAACTAGCCTAACCTCAGAAGTTTTGGCTCTTGCAAAGAGTAAACAATCATCTGCAAAGAAGAGATGAGAAATAGTTGGTCCATTGTTAGAGATGCGTATGGGGAGTCAATTATTAGGTTTTATTTTTTCTTGAATAAGAAGGATCAATTTCTCCATACAAAGAAAACATAAGTAAAGAGGCATAGGGTTACCTTGTCGTAGACCATGAGTAGGAGCAAAATTATCAAGCTTTTCATTATTCCACTTAAGAGACGAGGATGAGGGGTGATGCAACTCATAATTAGATCAATTGTTAACACCGATGTTCTATTCAGGAACTGAAATTAGATATAGTTGATGAATTATTTTTCTTGAATCAACAACTTTAATCTCTAATATGGTGGCGCAAGGTGAACCTGCAAGATTAACACTCAAATGCTCAAGTCAGTTTGAGATTCAAAATGAGTATAGTCAAAATTGGAGATCATAAAATGTATCTTACTTTCCGTGTGAACTGAACTTTATACCTTGGGTCAAGTGGAGTGGATTTGAGATAGATTAGGTCTTAGTAATTTGGGCATTTGGCCGACCCCGAACATTTTCTCACAAGGCTTCATCGGGCACTGAGTGATCCAGGGGAGCTTTTGGTGATTTTGGTCGGCCTCCATGATGTTGTCTGGTGTGAGTTAGAAACAAAATGGTCAGAGTCAATTGAAAAAAAGTGATGCGGGGCAGAAGCATTAAATGCTTTCTTATAACTAAAATGTTCCATTATTTGTAGTCAGTATAACACCTCAGTTTTTATTAAATTATTTTAATTAAGTTATTTGTGAACTCTTTATAATTTATATGTGTTTTATTTAATTATTGTGTGTGAATAGATAAATAAGAGGGTATGGTGTATGTCCTATAGATAGAGAGATATAGAGAATAAGTTGTGACTTGTGGGAGTTGATAAAAATTATTTAGAATCTCAATAATTAGAATAAAGAGTATTTTAATTAAATTATTTGAATAAATAAGTGTTATGGGGGTGTGTGGCCTTGAGATAAGAGTGTGGACAGTAATTAGAAGTTGGTAGATTTATTTAGAATTATTTTATTAGTAAAAATAATAAGATAAAGGGAGAGTACGAGTTTGCAGAGATATAGAAGACAATGAGGGAATTAAGGAAAAATGTGAGGGTAAGGTAGAAATATCCTAATAAGGGAATTAGGTTTTTAATTTAAAAAGATATTTTGGATGAAAGAGTTGTTGTCAATACGTAGAAAAGGTGAAAAGAGACAAAGAGGCAAGAAGAGAGGGAGCTCTAGGGAAAGAGAAGAACAAGATGAGGGACAAAGCTTTGTGAGAGGAGACCATAAATATTGCTTGATTTTTCTAGAGTCACAAGGTAAGGGGTAGAATAACCTCGATAAGGGATATATGCATGAGGGGTAGAGTAGATGATTCCTTAACCTCCAATAGGGTTTGTTTATCCATTAATACTCAATGAATATTGATGAATAGGTGATGATAAATCAATTGTTATAAGCATTGATTTGATTTTCAATGGTGTGTTGTTGTTATGAAGTTGTGTTCTTGAGTTTTGATATTGTTGTATCCCAAAATTTACCCTCTCACCTATCAAGAATTTTCTCATAAGATCTCCTTAGGCTCAAGAATACACTAGGGTTTGATCAGCTCAAGACACCTCCTTATGCACTGATGACCAAAATTAGGGTTTGAGTTTGCACAAGGATTTTTGGACTATCAATGTTTCATATGATTTTCAAGGATTATTATGGACCCCTAAGATTACTCATGTCAAGTTTCAAGCTTTGAATCACACTTTTGATCAGTCAATTGAACAGTTGACCTAAAAATTAGTTGTATTGGGGGAAAAGTCAACCATGGCCAATTTACAGTCAAACTTCATAATTTTTTATCCACATCAACATATTAGACTCATATATATCATTTGTTCAAGTTTGGACCATAATTCCTCAAGAAATTTGATCAAATCATCAAAAGGGCAAAATGGTCAAAATTAGGGTTTTGACTGAGAAGGGGCAATTTCTGATTTTTGACCTAGAAAATGATCAATTGGTTTGAAGCATGATTTCAAGAGTTCAATTTCATCATCTTTACCTAATGAAATGATTCAAAACATTACAAATCCATTGGATTGACAGATGAATTTTCCAGTCAACTGATCAAAAGTCAACTGCACACTGAAAAGTCAAACTTTGACTTTTTGGTCAAAATCAAGTGCCAAAGATCATAATTCATCAAAACATGTTAAAATGTGAAACTTGTTCATCAAGAAATCAAGGATTCAAGATTTTTGTTTTGAAAAGTTGAAATTTCTTAACTTAGAAATTTTTCTAAGTATAGAAAATTTCTTATTTTTTCTCAACTTTGAGCCAATTTTTCACCTTGATGCAAGACGATTCAAAGGAAACTTCCAACATGAAAGTTGTAGATCTACATGAAACCTACAACTTTGCTTCATATAATTTCTCCTGAAAATGCTTGGATATCAAGATATAATTTTGTGAATACATGCTCATGAACCAAAATAACTTAGTGAAATTTTGCCCTAGTTAGGCATATTTTTTATCTAACTTCATGGAAATTTTTCACATAGTTCCAAAGGGAATTTTCAAAAGTAATTCAAAGATGGGTTGTAGAGCACATTGCAAGCTTTCCAAAATGTCAAAGAACTCCTTGAGATCATTCTTGAGTAGGGAGAATCAAAGAGATGAAGTTGGTGATTTATCACTTTGATTTCAAGCCATTTCATGATGAACAAAAATTCAAATCCAAGCCTAGACTGCATAATCTTTGCTTTGCAGGCCTCAAACTTGTTTCTCACTCCATAATTAAATGTTTACACAGCTGTTAGAGCTTTAATCCAAACACTTGAGCCTTTATCCAAGTTACAATTCCATTTTTGGCACAAAGTTGTCATTTCCATTTTG